TGCTATTGAATGCAACAGTTGTCATCGAACTCAGTGCAACAGTTGTCATGGAATGCCCGATGTCTGCTTTGCTGTATGTATTTAGCTGTTGATTCGATTTATTCGGTATACCACCATTCGGGCTTGCCAGGTTTCGCCTTTATTGCGCATCCTGCCACTTCATCATTTTGCGGTCGGCAAATTCCGTTTCTATGCCGTGTTATAAAATATTGGTTAACAGTTTTATAATTCCCGTAATTTTCTGTTACAAGGGAGCCACTCTGCGGCCCAGCTGCCCGTTTTCCTATCCTGCCGCCTTCACTTCAGGTCCCCGATAATTACCGTAAGTAAACCTGAATTTTGTCTCTGTGATTTTCGATCATTAAAACTAAGATGGCTACTTCGTTTGCGAGATTGCGATATTTTACTACGTCGTAATCGGGTTCACAACCATTGACACTGCAAGATAACCGCTAAGCCTATTGTCGAGACTCGAGAGTAATTTTCCAGTTTAGTTTTGGGGAAGGCTCCGCACACCACGTTTAACCACCAAAGTCTCCACACACCACTTTTTATTATTTTTTTTAATTTTTTACGAAAACCATCTAAATCTCCTGACACCACCAAGAGCATAGTGCCCACCACCCGAGTCTCTGCACACCACTATTTTGAAAGAAAATTAAGTGATTGCTATTACGGGCGGAAAAAGACAGCTCTTTCGTCTCGCGGTCTGGCTCCCCTTTTTTGATACCACTCGTTAGCCTCCGCTTCCGTTATAGTTAGCGATCTTTTCGGTTTTACTCGCCCGGCCGCCCTGCCATGACGGTGTTTGAGTTTTTGCCCACGCTTAGCTTCGAATGATGTTATTACCCACTCCCTCAAGGTCTTTCCAGAAAAGGTTCTCTCCTGTGGGTCAATTCCATTTAGTTTTTCGATATAATTTCCTAAATACGGAAAAAAATCCAAATAACTAACAAAAATTCTGGGTAGTTCTCAGATTAATTTCCAAAAGATTTCAAGAGTTTCTAATATCGAAATTTCACTTTCAGAATCTCGGAAAAAACTTTCGAATTATTTTTTGCAGTTCAAAAGAAAATAGCAATAAATTAATTAAACACAGTTTAATTCGATTAGCATTTTAAGTCAACCATTTTAAATTTGAATCCTAATTCGGAACTGAATTTGCGAATTTCCAAATTCATTTCCAAGGAAATATTAACTAATTTAAATAAATTATTTTCGCAAGTGCTATGCTCAAAAAAGTGCAGTTAAATTGTTTTTATTTCGATATAGGCATGTATACCGTTTTTGTTGTTTCTCTATTAGTAGAAAAATCAATTACTGTAGCCGCGCGATGAAGTGAGACCATAGAGTCTGGTGCACGGAAAAATGCAGGCCCAAGTGTAGCATAGTGTAGCGGATGATGCCGCCGTTTTGCCTTTGCCGTTGCAGTTTCTGCTGATGTACAAATTTTTGCAAACTTCTGTCTGTTCTTGGTGCCAGTAATTTTTATTTCGTGCTGCTAGGAACCGAAATAATAAAAGTGCGTAAAATTCCACATATATACGCACAGCAAAATTAAATGTCATAGTTGTATCTCGCACGTTGAAATGTAATGCGAGAACCGGCACAAAGGAGCCGTGCACTCTGTAAACGGCAAAGTTTCGACAGTAATTTATGTGTTAACGGTTAAACAGCGGCAAAAGCTTTTTGAACGGCACTTTTCGACAGTAAACTATAGCGGTAAAGTGTTTGACGACGGCAAAGGTAAAGTGGAAAACGCAAACAGAAACGCCAAATATAAAGGGGCGGCAAAGGTAAAGTTGGCCGACCCATTTTCGTACACAATATCAATAATGTTACAAGCATAACAATAATCTCCATCTTATCAGTGTAGTCAACTAATCACGGAAAAGCTAATTAATAATTAGTGTACGCTTCGTAAGTGCTGATGAACCTGTATCCAAAAAATTAGCTGGGTAAAACGTAGAGCACCACGTGCTTCCGGAGAATATACTAGTAAGAGGGGATGTCAGCAGCTCACCTAGATAATCCCTGTACTTGCTGCCGTCAGCCGGCTGAAGCATGACGTTGTGGCTGTACATGGTGCTTATGTACCGCGCCAGATTTAGCCATATGTATTGCCGTAACGTCGCACTCCACGCGGGTGACGGCAGCAATACAGGGGATTATCTAGGTGCGCTACTGACATCCCCTCGCATACACGAACGCGATTTATAACAGATCAAGTAGCTTGCCCGCAGTCCTGAAAGGTACAGTATATATGGCTATATCAGGCGTGATACATAAGCACATATTTGGCCACAACGAAATGTTCCAGCAGGGTGAGCGCAGCAAGTACAGAGATGGCTTGCTTCGGCCTTTATATGTTTTGTGCCAATACATGTTGTTATCACAACCATATGGCGCTTCCCTTTGACTGTTGATACAGGAATTATAATCTGATACCGAGTACTCATACTGCTGTTTATCAGGTTGGCACGAAATTTATCGATGACCTTAAGAATGACTTGGAATTATCACCTAGAATTTCTAATAATTATGAAACGCTAATAACTTTCATAAGTCGGTATATCTGCAGTCGATGTTAATTCCCAGCTCATGTTACAGTAGATCACATGATGGACTCGGATGCATTCCCCGATCATGGCGAAAGTTCAAAGGAAGCCAGCAGCAGAGACTCAGATATATTTGAGCCAGATGGCGCTGAACTGCCAGATTATTTCGATACTTGGCAAGAATTTGAAGAAGAATTCGCTGAGTACCAGAAGAAGACGCGGCAAAGGTTCGTTATTCGTCGATCCAAGAAGCTGAATGCCGCCGATCCGCAGTTTCCGGTCCTGCGATATTCTGCGGTGGATTATGCGTGTATCCGCCGCGACGTTCATGGCACCAAGAAAACTGGGAGGAGGTCTTCTCGATGTACCCGCCGAACGGAATGCGGTGCCTCCTTTACTATTGCGGCAACGCTGACAGAACGTCGTCTCATTGTCAGAAACCAGAATTTCCGGCATAATCATCGTCTCGCCAACGATAACTGGCATAATGTGCCCGAAACCCGGCAAATCATCTGCGCATTACGCAACGCGGGCCAGACTGTGAATGGAATCGCGGAACACATGGGCATCAGTATTTCTACCGTGAAACGTGTTATTTCTAAGGAGAAATCAACTGCTCTCATGAATCGGACCGGGATGGAGAAAAACGAGCGCACGCAGGGACCCCGCCCAGCAGATACTCCTGTAGCAGAAACTGCACAACAGTCCAACATGAGTGTGCAGCGAGTGGGGCGAATGCAGGATTGCACTGAAGAAATCGTCGTCGACGCAGACGGCGGTTACAGCACGGCACATGGATGCATGGATTCCTGGGAAAGAAATGCGGGTGTGTACGTACCAGTACGGTATTTAAAGGAGCTGTCGTTATAATGCGAATTCTTCAGGCAGAGATGCAAAAGATTAACGCGCTAACGATGTCAGGTCGCTCTGGGTTTTTTTCCTGGATGCACCGCCAAAAGAAAGTTTCAAGATTTTGAAGTATCATTATGACATGATAGTGTAATAACAAATACAGTCGTTACCCTTCTCCCATGGGAACGTGGTACTTGTACGTCGCTCGCAATACTGTAGATGTGACTTATGTGGGCACTCGGCCAGCTTCATATATTGACCGTACGTTCGGCCACATTCCTACTTCCGTACCACTTTCCTACTTTTACAAACATCCAACAATGTTAATAAATGTTTTCTAACTTTACGTATTTTTCCTCATGTATGTTCCGCATAAGTATACAGTATATTATACAGTATATAAAAGTGTACAGAAAAAACAGCACGAAAAAAAAGTTTAGAAATGTCAATGTGTTACGTAAATCATTTTCCTAACGGCAAGGGCATTTAGAGAACGGCGTTCTGGAACGGCGGCAAATTTGTATGCTAACGGCATTTCCGGCGGCAAAGGCGAAGGTAAAGTTGAAAAGGCAAACTGAAACGGCAAAGGCGAAGTTGGCCGATTCGTAGCCAGGCTGGTTATGTGAATTTGTGAATTGCTCTCATACTATATATTTAGAGCTGCATAGTAGTCGCAGTTTTTTTACAGTTGTGCACAAACGGTTGTACACCGTTGATATTGCCGTTAAATATTCTTGTGTTAAGTAATGTTTTCGACTGGCAAACTGATTTCTTACTGTGCAGTTATGAGTTACAGTATTAGTTAGCCTTTTTGCCGGTTATATTCGCGTAGCCGCTAAATCTACGAAAAGCATAGAATAACTCGTTTAGGGTGACAAGGCGGTTCCACTGGGGTTCCAATGGTTCCAAAAGTTCCAATGGTTCCAAAAGTTCCAAAAGTTCCAAAGTTCCATTGGATCCAAAGGTTCCACTGGTTTCAAAAGTTCTGCTGGTTCCAAAAGTTCCACTGGTTCTAATAGTTACTGGAAACTGTTGGAAACGCTGTAATTACTTTGCTTGTCTTCCTAAGTGATACCAATGGAACCTATGGAACTCTATTGGAACTCACTGGATAGCTTGGAACCGCTGTAATTATTTTGGCTAAGTGATACGAGTGGAACCGATGGAACTCTATTGTAACTCATTGGAACTGTTGGAACCGCTGTAATTACTTTATTGCCTTTCGAAGTGATGCCAATGGAACCTATGGAACTCTACTGGAACCCATTGGAACTGTGGGAACCTCTGTAATTATGGTGCTGGTCTTGGTAAGTGATACCAGTGGAACCTATGGAACTCGATTGGAACTCAATGGAACTTATAGAAAACTTATGGAACTCTTTTGTTGGAGCCGCTTTAACTATTTTGCTTGTATTTTTTGTACTAGCGAAACGCTCACAACGATACTTCTAGCCCAGTGGTGCGGTTCCTATCTTCGCTAATGCTTGGTTTATCGGACTTCTAATCGTTAACGGTACAACTCGGTACATGTAATAAGGATTTTTTCCAAAGTTCGTACATACTCAAATTGTTGTACTTATGAATGTTCGAAAATGTTAGCGCTTAGAGCAGAAAGGACATTTCCAGGCATTCTTAGTCGGTGGCGGTTTTCCGGATCGGGTCACACGAGGTGACACATAGGATGCGCAGATGTGATGAAATGCGTGTTTGCATACCGTACAGTGCAACCATGGTTTGTTCGGATCACCCGGAATAAGGACCGCATGACACTTAGCGCATTTGATGATGTTGCTCTGTTCACAAACGCTCATGTCATCTTTGCTAGAATTTTCATAACGGTGCTGGATGGCACGCTTCGTAGCTTCTGGATCATCTACAGAAAGTTGACGAAGATGAATGAAGAGAAAAACGGTTATGTTATTGTCTGTCGCGTCAACTTGGAATCTTCGTACAGTGAGTTATATGTTTACCGGGTACGACTCAGTGCACAAAAAACTACCATGCTGACTCAGCAGCAGAGTAATAAAAAACAGTAACAAATTACATATATCTTTTGTGATCTGCCACACGAAGAGTGCCATACCTTCAGAAACCAGATAAGCCGAAAAGGATCGAGCCTTTTTGTTAGCACGGTCTCCACCTGGTCAGCAATGATACGTTGGTAAAAACAATACATAGACAAATTCTCGTAATTTTATCTGAATTTCGGAATTTACCTCTCACTTCTTCAGTAGATTTTTTCGGAGTGCTGCTGGATAATGGGATAAAATCGCTAGCGCTAATAGGAAGCGGAAGTTCGGTGACTGCATTTTGCGTATCACTCTCACATGGTTCAACTGGCTTGCTCTTACGCTTTCTTGATTGCGCATCAAAGTATTTGTCGCCGACTGTTTGTGTGGCTGAAAATACCAAGCGAAAGGTCATCAGTATTAGTGTAGTTAAAGTACGCGCTAAAATTGGACCCACGATCCGTGTCAGATGTCGCTTCAGCTAAGAGTGCAGCAGAACTGCTCGACGGGGTGGGTTCTGGTGCGCTATCAGCGGTGGAGTGCGCCCCACCGGTGCCATCGATTTTTGCAAGTTGCTCTGGAGTGAAATGTTCACGTGGCAAAATCAAGCAACGCTTCCGCAATCCCTTTAGATTAACCTGGTGCTGCGTATCAGTCCAAGCAATCTTGTCAATACACCAGCGATGCTGTAGCAGCGGCTCTTCTTTAGTAGCATCAAGAAACATGTCTTTCCGAATGGCAAGGCACAGCACATCGCTTGTACTGTCCTCAAACTTCACCGAGAGAATTCGTTTGAAGACGTTTCAATCTTAAAAGAAAAGGTATTCACACATTTTGTTTTATGCTGAGTGACAAGCATTTTTTTATTAAAAGCAAATTTCCACTATGTGGTTTTTAGCATAAAATAACCAGTACACGTGGTATCAAAGAACACTATTAAAAAAAGTTGATTGTACGCGAACCTTAGCGGCGTCTGTTGTTTTGCGCAATGCTTCTATCATCTGCGCAAAACTTTCTTTGGCTAATTCGTTGCTTCGGTCAAGAATTTGTACTCCAGGCGCACGCGTCGACTGGCATTCTTCTGATGCAGTTTGATATGGAGCGGCTTTTGCAATATGCCGAAGCAGACAGCGAAGCGCCTCCTCCTTATCGTACTCGCAAGTGACCTTTTGAGCAATCTTCAAAAAATTCCTTAATAGTCATACGTAGAATGATAATGTAATATGACACCTTAGTATCTAATCAAAAATTACAAAATGTGCGAACAGAGCAGCAAACTGACTGTACCAAGTCTCCAACAGACGAAAGAATCGAGTATAAAGTTGCAGTTCTGTGGGTGCAGGTGACCATTCCCAATGATAAGATCTCTTTCTTAATGATTTTGTACTTGTCGTTGACCGCACCAGTCAGTTCGCTACAACCGTCTTCGCCAAAGGTTAGCAATTTTCGTACTCCTTTAGAAGCTCTTTGCTGGGCTTTTTCCAAAAGCGCGAATACATTGTTGTCAATATTCATTAACTCATCTTCCATGGTCAGGATTGCTACCCGGCTAAACGTTCGCATCCTGCAAAAGAAACGTCAAAAACTATAATGTTTTTGAAAAAATAATGAAGTTTGAAACGGGACACAAGGTATAACGTAATTAAGAATAACCTACTTGTCGTTTGTTGCGGCAGCGATGTCATGCAAGCCGTCAGAATTCATGGTCAACGCACAAGACGAGCTCGGGTGCACTCCGCCATTATTTTTGTTACGAAGTTGAGATAGAGTTTTCTTTCGTACACACAGCCAAATATCCGTGGCATTAGCTTAGGAAATGGGTTATCGTGGATCAGCAGTGGGAGGTGCAGCTTTGTCCAGCGATCAAGACCTGCGGAATCCGTAATTTCGCCTAAATTGCAAATGTCCTCCATATTACTACCAAAGAATGAGACGCTCAAATTCAAAAGTAGCGTTTTCCAAGTGTCCGGAAGTCCAACGACGATTAAACTTGGAAGTCCTTTGAAGTGTTTAATAAGCACTTCGTAAAACATACTGATCCAGGAATGGGCTGAAAAACTGCATGTTTATGTTGATTTTTTCCAAGTATTTCATTATAGCTGCATTCGTCACATATGTTATATAATTTCGCATGCGTAAAAATTATAACTGCTACCGTTTCTGTGAAAAAAATTTTGTGCTTTTGGTTTAATTACTATTTGTTGTCTTCTAAATGTACGGGTAATATCGCGTTAATGAATCCATCCTAATGCAAAGACTGTTTTTTAGTGAAACTGTTTTTTCTTGTACACATTACACAAAATTATAACTTTATGAGGATAATTTGGCACAAGAAGTAGCGTTCGAGAAAACGCTTAAACTCACCGCACATCAGTATGAATGTGTAATAGACATCCATGGGCAGGTGTTGTTTTATAATGGTAAACAATTTGGACTTTTTTTTTCCATGATAAATCTCCACAGTGCGCGGGATCAACACAGAAGACAATGGAGTCCAGACATACACACATTTATCGACATCGGCTAACACCATGTCGTTTTCACAAGGGATGAAAATGGTATCTGGGCCGAACACTACAGTTACACCATCGGCTTGCAAGCCTAGGTGCGAAACTGCCTTCCGCTTCAACGGAATGTGTGCTTCTTCGCACATCCTGTTTAAGAGGCAAAACGTGAGCACTTCTTACCAGGGCACATAGGGGTCCTCCAAATTCAGAAAAATCTCATCTTTTGTAAAATAGTAGTATACTACCTAAGTATGCTTAAAAAATTTTTCAGCTACTGTGACCAGGCCCGTCGCGAGACCCCTGTGCAATTTTCAAAAACAAACTCCTCCTAGAGTTTTCATCGGAAAATTTTTCTGAATACACCATTGGATTCGTTTTGAAATTCTGAACAAAACGGTTGAGGCCGATTTTCGAAATTCACATTTCCCCCCAGACCGTTACTACGGGCGGTCGCCAATGCGACAGCCCTGTTCTTGGGGCATTCCCCCCAGACCCACAAGGCCAGTCAAAGACACCTTCACGAGCCATTTTCAGTGATACAAATAGTATTTCAAGCGCAAATGGTTTCTCTATTTCTGAGGGGTCAGGGGGGAAAGCCCTAAAACTTAGGTTGTGACATGAGCGACCGCCCGGGTGGACGTGCATGGGGGGGAACGAATTTTGAAATTTGGCTTCAACCATTTTGTTCAGAATTTTACGGCGAGTTCAGTAGAGTTTTCAGAAAAAATATGCAATAAACACTGTAGGAGAGGTATATTTCTGAAAGTGCACGGGGGAATTCCCCAGAAGTCAGGCTGTCAAATTGGGGACCGCCCGTAGTAAGGGTCTAGGGGGAAATGCGAATTTCAAAAATCGGCCTCAACCGTTTTGTTCAGAATTTCACGACGAATCCAGTGGTGTATTCAGATAAATTTTCCGATGAAAACTCTAGGAGGAGTTTTTTTTTGAAAATTGCACAGGGGTCTCGCGACGGGATTGGCTGTGACTAAGATGGGCGTGGCCAGATGCAAACTGAAAGAGTACGCAATACCACATACGTACTACTTTATGTATTGCAATGCAAAGCGCAGGCTTTATGAGTTTGTGCATAGCAGTCATTGCAGGAGACCATTAGCATGGACTCGGCAGCTGCCTAACACCGAGGCAAGTGAAACCTGCGTGCGGTAGTACCTGCCACTGCTTTCAAATTGCCGACTTTCAAAAATGCTATTATCTAACATGTGTTAATATTACATTAAGTGTAAAAATGCAAAAAGTTTTCTACTACTAATTAGTAAACCATATTCTGAAAATTTGCAGTTTTAAAGCTGGCAGGGACGACCGCACGCGGTTTTCACTTGCCTCGTGTGATAGGCAGTAGCTCGAATCCATGCTAATGGCCTGCTGCAATGACTGCTATATATAAAGCCTGCGCTGTGCATTGCAATACATACTGCAGTACTATGTAGTATTGCGTACTCTTTTAATTTGCATCTGGCCACGCCCATCTAATTACAGCAGCTGAAAAAAATTTTTAAGCATACTTGGGTAGTATACTACCATTTTACAAAACATGAGATTTTTTTGAATTTGGAGGACCCCAGTGTGCCCTGGTTAGGTTTGTTTGAACAGCTTCCACTTGGACAAATATATGCAAGTAGTTTTCTACACATTACTACACTTTATAAGTAAAGGTCACGTACTCAGTGTAGCGTTGATGGTACCATTCGCCTAACTTGGCTAGAACCTTGTTGCTCATGTTGGAAAATGCGGACGAGCCGCCTTTGAGTTGCAAATCAGAGGAAAAATCTTTGAAATTATTCCAAGACTTGCTGCGAATGTACACCCTCCTGCAGATTAGCAGATTAGAACAAAATAAATTAGAACAATCAGAATAAATACAGGTGTATCAGTTTTCGTATGATTTTTATGGCCATTCTTTTGTTAAAAACCAATCTTCTTAATTTTTTAACACCTGCAAAACTGTCTGTGATGGCACGCCGGCCAATTGCCAACAGCTGTTCTGCTGACCGGCAAAAGTATACGCGACAACATCCGGAAACTATAACTCAGTGAGCGACAGCCTGCTGATCCACAATTTACTGCACACCAACACTTCGCTGACGACATTCTGATAACATTTTGCTGACGACATTCTGATAGGAGGTCACTATTTAAACGATGCAGGAGTCCCATACAGCAACTAGATTTATGCCGTTTTTGTAGTAATTGCACGGCAGTAATGAATCATCTAAGACTTATAATACGGTTGAATTGTGACTACGCATTTCAAAGAATAAGGTATGAATGTCAAAGTAAATTTACGAACTGCGTTATTTACCTTGGGCAACTGCCATCTTTCAGTTCAAAAAGCGTTCCTGATTCCGTTGTTTTTCCTTCGACTTCTGCTACCGGCATCAGTACAAAGGCCATAATCCAGTCGTCCACAGCTCGCTTTTCCTTCTTTTTAAAATAATATGTACGACCGTTTTTTTCTTTAAAGCGGTACTCAGCTGCTGTAAACTGCAGTGCAATAAAACATTTTTTGAACAGAATCTCATCAGTACGCGCAAAATATTGTAGTGGCTCACACAAAATGAGTCGGCAACCGATGGTTCGGACATTGTAATGCGGGAGCTTAATTCGCACTTCACAGAAATCTTTACTGTACGCTTGCAAGAAACCAAAGGTAATCCGATACAATACGCAATCGCAACTCGCCAGCAAACTTCGCTACAGAGTAAATGCTAGTCAGAAATGCTAGCCAGAAACGCGCTAACCAACAAATATAAAATAGCCAAATAATCCGGAATAATCTCGACGGATCTGAAACGATCTCGCAAGGGTACGTTTTACTTAATTTTGCCGCTATGGTTCATTCTTCGAGCACATGACAGTCCTTTTTAACGAATGCAGATCAGTTCATGCTGCATAAGTTTCAGCCAGTCATCCTACCGAACCTTTATTGTGAGCTGTGCTTGCTATTAAAAGATGCACTTTGCCCCCCATATACGGTGATTAAGCGAAGGGCAGAAGCAGTCATGCAGTATAAGTCTTACGTATGCGTAATCATAGACTAACCTATTTGCAGATCTGTTCGTATACCACCACGGCGCTTAGCTCTCTCTTTCTAAGTTGATTAGTTCATACAGCGCTGACCCAATTGTTCGATCCCTTAAAATGACTAGGTTTTTGGGAGAAGTGCTGAGTGGTGCGAGAACATCGCGCTGTTCAAGCGAGTATCGTATAAAGAAATCGACGAAAGCTCTTTGGGATGGACCGAAGAAGCAAATTGTCATCCGTGTTCGTCATCAGTACAGTAAGTACGGAAAACCGTGACTCACAATCCACTTGCAAATGCAGATCCACTCGAACTGTCCAGGATCTAGATTAACCTTTAAATAAAACTAAAGACAATGCAGCCTTTTTATAAACTGCATCTCAGCACAATGCTAGTTAATGCTTGACGCGGTCTGCTTGACAATTTACTTTGTCTAAATGCTGAGGATCATCCAAAGGCAGTGTCGATATTCGAAACCAGTAGTATCGAAACCATGGAGGATACAGACGTAGTAGAGCTGAATGTTTGTTTGAGAATGTTCTTAAGAAAGTATTCACTGGACGAAATCTTAAAGTTGTGCACTGTGTGCTCATCTAATCGGTCACTTGACATCATGGACCCGGTATTATTACAGGTATAACGGTGAATGGCGATCTGTGCATTTTGAAGCAAAAATGTTACGGCAGTATTCGGCAGTATTTTAATACACATACGTAAGGCCTGTTAAGATTACAAAGCGTTACTTGCAGGAACTGGCAACACATGTGGGTCTTGATACAAATCGGCTGAGGGATATGTACATCGACACCATGAACGATGCGCCGGCCTTGCTCGATTTGAATTCACCAACGGATTCACGCAGTATTGTCGTGATTACATCTCCTGTGACAAGTTGCACTGAGGGCTGTGTGTATCAGAGAGGTCACAAAACAGGACTTCCATTGGAACTCGAGCATCATAACAAGCCAGCATGGGTAAGCTTGCAAACCGAAAAATTAAACAACTACTGACTTTTCCAGGGTTGTTAAACTTTTCCAGGGTAAGCTGCATGATATTAATGGGATAAGCCGCTCCTTTGTTCGCCTGTCGCGTAGATGCCCAGTATGCCGTAGTATATATAAGTACGACATGTTTCAATCCAAAAAAGATGGCCAATACAGATTTTACGAACAAGAGAGACCGTACGTGCGCGTTACCCACACAACTTACTGGACACGAACGCTATGCAAATTTTTAGTAGAAAACGTGTGAGTATTATAAATAAACTAATTTATATTTTTGATTTACCCATCTTTTATCAACTTCTATTTCAAGGCTGCATTGCAAAGCGTCTTTCAACGGGTTCTGCGAAACTTCTCTTGAAACCTACGGAAAAGCTGCAGGTAATTTGATATTGGGAAAAATATCATTTTTTTAGGCTATATGTTCTCGAATTCTGCTCTCTAAGGGTTTTGGCAGGTTGACTTTTCTTCGGTTAGTGCGCCAAGGAAACAACCTGCTTTGGTGGTGTTCTTAACTACACATTTCTTGACATGGTTATGCCATATGAAAATTGAGAGCGTTAAGCTTTGCCTGTATTAATGATGCTCCCTGTATTCAGGCTCCATCGTCGACCGGAGTTTGTGCGCAAGAGACATGCGTTACACCGGAAGTCGCATTCTGCCGGGTCGGAGAGGAAGATACTGCTGACAGGGGGCAGCAGCGGTCGGGTGCATTCGCAGAAGATCCCAATATCACGTCCCCGATAGTAGCACCGGCTCCATCTGAGTGTACGGCAAGTTACGGGACTTACGGCCGCCAGACACCGGATCATTTATCCGAGCTGCTGCGGAAAGCGGGGTTGATATTGTAGCGTTAATGTTGTTGTGACTAATAATGTACGACTGTGTATCAGTGTTGTATGAATAAATGTGTGAGTGTAATCTTAAACCAAAAACCTATCCCATCTCATTTAGCCTTACCTAAACTCTCATGTTTCTTCGCAGTCTGTTATTGTTTACGGAATTGAATCTTATTCTAACGACTTCTAACGAACGATCGACCGACCGAACATCAATAAAATACTCCTCAAACCTGTTGTTGTTACGATCCTGTATTATCGTTATTCCTACACCATCATGGTTGATTACAGTTTACGGACAGTTAGGCGACTGGATCGCCGGACAGGCAATCCAGTTTTCAGCGTACAAGTCAACGTTGTAATATGGATACATTAATGCAGCCAGGCAATGCGTCGACGAGCACACTCAGCGCAAGATATCAGTGATCAAGTCTACTCTAGCGGCTGATTATTAGCCGCTAGACTGGAATTGCCATCTGTTAGAAGAATAATAGCAGGTACGGGGTCAGGCTGAAACCGGTCCGGCTTACAGCCGGTTCGGTTAATAACCGGTTGACCATGAACCGATTGAAGCCCATTGATCACTAATCTATCCTTCTTCCATTGTCAAGTTTTTCCAGCAACACCAAATTTACCCGAGCACCCGAGTGACCCGAGCGGGGGAAGTGGGTGAAATAGATGGGTGGAACAGCTGGGTGCATTTTCTATGCGCTAGCCTACCTCTACTCGATACAGTCGGTTCGGTTAATAACCGGTTGACCATGAACCGATTGAAGCCCATTGATCACTAATCTATCCTTCTTCCATTGTCAAGTTTTTCCAGCAACACCAAATTTACCCGAGCACCCGAGTGACCCGAGCGGGGGAAGTGGGTGAAATAGATGGGTGGAACAGCTGGGCGGAACAGCTGGGTAGAACAGCTGGGTGCATTTTCTATGCGCTAGCCTACCTCTACTCGATACAGCCGGTTCGGTTAATACCCGGTTGAGCATGAACCGATTGGAGCCTATTGATCACAAATCTATCCTTCTTCCTTTGTTAAGTTTTTCCAGCAACACCGAATTTACCCGAGCACCCGAGTGACCCGAGCGGGGCAAGTGGGTGGAACAGCAAGGTGAAACAGCAGGGTGGAACAGCAGGGTGGAACAGCAGTATGAAACAGCCGGGTGAAACAGAAGGGTGGAACAGCTGGGTAGCACAGCTGGGTACATTTTCTGTGTGCTAAACTACCTCTTTACGATACAACCGGTTCATAATTCGATTGATAACCAGTTGATCGTGAACCGATTGGAACCTGAACACCACTAGAATTTATTTTCTTATTCTTTCGATGTATTTTTGCGGAAAACCTAACTGACTCCACCGCCCAAAGAATGTAATCAACTAACACTAATGTGTATTATTAATCGCATTCGCAGACTTGCACAATTTTATTCAACATCTGTTTCGTTACTATGGCTTGTTCGGGGGTTAAATACAATAGATCGACTGTGCAAACAGAACCTTGCTTCCCTTTTACCCAATCAAAGCTCGTACCCACAGCAGATTTTAAAAAGATCAACCGCTATTGGCTGTAGGAGTAAGAAATGGGAGGTGCTTACCCAAAAAGGGCGGAGTGGAGTTTACATTTTTGACCAATTACATCACAGTAAGTTTCGAACGGTTGTTTTGGGAAAGTATAAAAAGGTGGCAGCTGATCAACATCACATCAGTCGACGTTTTGATTTTCTGAAGTTGATCACAAGAGTTACTTCTCTGTAAAACATGGATTATGCACGCTCTTTGGAGGTACTAGGTGAACACAGCGGATACACCATCTACAAAGTCAACAGTGTGGTTAGTATGTTTTGGAATGCGAAAAGTGTGCGTCTTGTTTTAGCTTTTGACGAAGAAAAAAACGGCTTCAAGGATCACGTGGGAGCATTCCACAAAGGAGTTCGGCTAGGACTCTGCGAAATTTCGGATTTTCTCGGCAAGCTTAAAACCGGAATAATCCAAGAGGCGGTTGACAAGGCAATCACCAGTAAATCGACGGAAAAAGTCACCATCGCAGGGGCTGCATGCCTGGATTTGTATCTCAGCATGCACCCAAAGTACGGTCGGATGATTCGATTTTCCCAACCCGGTCATTCACTGCAAATACCGTATAGAGGCTTTCTGGATGTGGCTCGTATTTTACATGATGATTTTTGGGGACGTGAAGAAGGAATTTCGTCTGATGTTTGAGAGCAAAATATCATTAAGTGTAGTGTTTTATTGTTTTTGAAGCCTTGTTTTGTTTTGGTAAACTAATGTTTGGCATTGTTTGATTGTAACACCCTTTTTGTAAGAAAGCAAAAGAGCTGGTTGAAGCCGTTATTTGTGACAAACTGAGCAAGAAACGTATATAAAGAGTTCATGCTCACTTTGTCACAATTAATGAGCTCAATCATGGAGATACACAACGTGATCTTGTCGGTCAAGTTCGATAAGACAGTCGACTTGGATGCCATCACTCGTTCTTTTGGTAACTGTGCTAGCAAAATGAAAAATTTCAATGCAATTAACCTTCGGTTATTTGATAAAACGTTTTGCCAGCTATTTGCTAACGGAAAAGCTATTGTTAACGGAGGCAAGTCTGTGGAAGAAGCGGAACGCCTCTTACACTTCTATCATCATATGTTGTTTTTGCACAATTTTGATTTGGTGATTAAGGTGTTTACAGTCGTTAATATTGTAAGTATCTATAAGCACACTTCGACAATTAACCTTGAGGCTCTTTACGTTAAAAGCAGATCGTTTGCGAATTTATATGAGGTTTTCTACGAACCGGAATTATTTCCTGCCGTTCAGTTGAGACTGAAGAAGATTCAAAATACAGTCAACGTGTTTCATACGGGTAAGTGTGTTGTGTTAGGTTGCAGATCCATCATACAATTAAATTCAGTTATCACAATCATTAAAAACGTACTATATTTACTCACTTAAATCTACTGAATATAGATCAGCTTTCGAGAAACTGAGCTAAAAGTTTTGGAATTTTTTAAAGTAGAATACTCGTGCTTTCCAGCCAGAAACCACCCTAAACACAGGAGTTTCTTAAATGGAGAAACTGACTTTTGATTTTCGATTCAAAACTCCCTGTACAATTTACATATCTGGCCCTACAATGTCGGGAAAATCGACGTTTACCTTGGATCTTTTGAAAAATGTCCCACTGCATTTTAGTCCACCACCTATGCGTCTTGTTTACGCATATGGTACATGGCAGTCAGTGTTTAACACGTTTGATGAATCGATAGAGCTTGTACAAGGGATTGAAAACATTATAAATGATGAAAACTTTTTTCGGAGAGATGTTCCTACACTTCTGATATTAGATGACCTTATGGAAGAAATCTCTACAACTACAAGAGCTTCAGCACTATTCACACGTGATGTGCATCATCAAAATGTATCAGTCATTTTTATTTCACAAAACCTGTACAAGGGAAGAATATGCGGGATATTTCTCTTAACTCTCAGTATATGGTATTATTCAAATCCGTTCGTGACACTCAGCAAATAAAAACACTAGCGCAACAATTGACAATGCCTCACTTGCTTGAGGCTTATAAAAAGGCTATAAAGGAGCCATTCGGGTATTTGTTAATCAACTTACGTCCAGAAACACCTGATGTGGCACGCCTGCAGTCGCATATTTTTGGCTATAGAAAAATTTACGTGGAAAAATGAAACCTGATGAAATCTTAATGTTGGTTCATGCCCTCCGCATAATGACCCCCAGACAGCAAAGCGTTTTTTCAGTTTGCGACCGCTAAGCAAATAAGTGCCATAGAAGAAGCATGTTTAAACCTTATTAAGCAACCGAAGGGGCTTAGCAAAACAGATATAGCTAGAGCTCGAGTTCACGTACGTTCTATTAAGCGATTAGCTGACCGTACTGTAACCCGTGATAAGAAAAGAAAGCTTCTGCAGCAGAAAGGCGGCTTTCTAGGAGTACTTTTACCAGTTCTAGGAACTCTGCTAACTGCATTTCTGACAAAATGAAAACGTACGTGTTAGTTCCGGAGTCAGAGTTTGAAGTTTCCAAGAACAATACAGCTCCGTCATCTTCCTGGAGAAAGGCGCAAGAAATCAGCAATAGCCTGTCCCAACAGTTAATGATACGTGCCGCTCTAGAAAGTCAAAGGCAGAATGTTAGACAACCCCAACCGGACGTAGCAAATGAACCTGAAGGAATTACCTCTATTCCACCCGTATTCAACAAATCTACTGGATACTCCAAAATGAAACCGATGACCCAAGATACATTCGTGCAAGCGGCGCCGTCGTTCGACAGCCGAGGTGTAATGGCTACCACCGTGACAAGATACCAACAAATCCAGGTCAATGAACCACCACAAGTAGAATACGTTCAGTCCGAGCCGGTGGTACAGTATATCTCAGTGCCCTCAGAACCAGTTGTGCATTACGTTCCTACGCCAGTGGCAGCTGAACCAGTTATTCATTACGTTCCGAGCCCATCAAAGACTTTAGTTAAACATGTGTATAAACTGTCTCGAACTCTTCCAGTCGTGAAAAAGCGACGAGGTTTAAAAAAATCCCAAAGACCGTCAAAACCGGGAGAACCTGTACCAGCAATACAGTATGCACCAACTCCACCCTCCCTTCCACTAGAAGGTCCGCTTACGCAACCAATTGTTGAATTTCCACCTGACGGTGTTCTGGATTACGACGCACCGGATGTTGAATCCCTTCCAGAAAGTGCAAAAGCAAAAAGCCTTACTTTTGACACACAAAACTTTTCGTTGCGTCGCAGTGTACGTCAAAAATCGACTCTGCCGTATGTTGCATCCAAACCTGCTATTGGTGAGCCACCCACAAGTTTCAACGTGGTTCCTCAAGCTAATAAGATTGTCAAACGACGAAGTACTCGGGGAAAATCGGCTTTACCCTTCATGTCTACCCTACCACCTGTTACTGGACCACCTGTAAGGATGAGACTAAAAGATCGAGCGGCACCGCCTGTTGTTGAAGTGCAA